GACGAACGAATAGTGTGAGGAGGATGCTGATTATCTTTATATGCGACTTGACTTGGCAAAAAAAAAAAAATCGACGCGAAAAATGTCGAAATTAATTTATTATCGGTAGCAATGTCTACCGGGCCGCCTTGTTTCTTAATTTATGATTTATTATGGCAGTTTATTTAAAGCTTTGAGTCGTCGCATCATTTTTAGAAGCTACTCCAAACACTTAAGTTTGAAAATATTTCGGGAGACATAATTTCGAATCTTTGCAGATGAGCAATATAGCGTAAATGGCTTAAGGATCTAAACTTTAGCTAAGATTCGTTTACACACCACCGTTGATATTGCCGACAATATTGAGTCCTTATTTAGAAAATACTTGGTTTAATTTCATTAATTGAATTTCTTCGAGGACGAATAAAGGTTAAGTGTGAGGAGTTTGATAACTCTTGATTTTGCCATATTTTATAGCTTATATTTATCTATTTAATTATTTGTTTATGTCTAATTTTGATATTATTTATGTTAATTTATTCTAATAATTGTATTCATTTCATCTTGTTTGTATAATATTAAATTATTAGTTTTTAAGTGTAATTTATAATTATTTTGGTGTATAAATTAAATTAATTGATGTGTTTCTTAAATTATATTTTTAGGCATTATTTGTGTGCTATTTAAGTATTTAGTTTTGGCTAAATTAATTTTATTTAATAAGTATTATTTATTTAAATAAATATTTATAAGATGTTCATTATTTATATAGGTGAAATAATGCCTGAAAACTGATATGGGAGTCCAAAACTGGCCTTAAAAAGTGAAAAAATGGCTTCAGAAGCAAAAAAACAGTCACCAACGTAAAAGTCAACAAAGTCAACGGTCAACGCCAGAAAGTCAACGCACGAAAGTCAAAGTCAACCGAGCGCGGAAGACAAGCGACGGCTGGTGCGGAAGACAAGTGACGGCTGGCACGAAAGGTAAGCGAGCGCGGAAAGCGAAGCGATGACGGCTGCACAGAAACTTTGGCGTTGAAGTGAGCGAAGCGATGGCGGCTGGCATGGAAGGCAAGCGGCGGCTGACACGGAAATATGAGCGGAGCGGAAAGCCATACGTGGAAGTGAGCGAAGCGGCGGCTGCATTAATTCTCACTGCATTTATTGCCGCTGGTCAGCGGTGCATTTACTGCGCCGCCACAATAATTCCTGCACAGAATTCTGCTGCATTTATGTCTCATGCACCCTCAGCTCCTGCATTTACTACACTCTCCCAGCTCCCTTAATTAAAATCCTGCACTATTTTTTAGCCAATTTTTTGCTATTTTTGTGTAATTTTTATTATAGAACCTTCAAGAAAATAGGTAGTTATTAGTAGCTATTTTTAAAGTTAGTTATTTATGGTTATTTTTAGATGTAGTTAGTAGTTATTTTTAGAAGTAGTTATTTATTGGCGGTTGTAACCGCCAAGCTTCTAGAAGCTTTTCCCCCTATAAATATCCCCTCTAATTGTACCATATATATGACCATAGATAGATATATATACACCATATATACACAATAATATACATTCTATTTTCTCCATTTCTTTTCTTCCGTATTTTTTATCTAGTTTAATAATACGAGATTTTCGGTTTTGTGTCGCGAGCAAACTGATTTTCTCCCCCTTTTTCTTTTAATTTCAGCATAGTATTTTAGCTAGTAAAATTCCTATCATATTTCTCCACCTCACCTTTACCCAAAAATTTCATGTTCGATTTGAATTGTTCAAGTTGGATTTTGACAAGGTTGCGGAAGGGCGATAGAAGAATCGACTATTTCAGCCCTGTTATGCGCCAAAAGCGGTTTTCGGGTAGTTCAACGTAGCTAAGTACGCGGGAGCCTTTTCGACCTGCTTAGTTGCTATTCTGAATTCGATTTTGATTAAAGAGAGGTAATAAAAGGGGTAGAGCCACTAGCGGAACAGTTGGAAGAATAATTCATGGGGCATAGGCGGGGGTCCATTGGGTCACAGAGATTCCTAGTGACAGTAGGGTTTCTTGCTTATAATGTTCTTCGTCGGGTGTCGCTGAAGCCTCGTTGTAAATCCCCCAAGATCAAGTACCAACCAAGTCGATAATCAGCTTAAGCGAGTAAATGCGATCACGTTCATTCCTCCGAGCCGCCCCGTAGTTATACATATATCTTTCGCTATCACGCCATCGTCATCCCGCTCATTTCATCAATGGAAATCTAGCCATTAAGGAACGCAAAAGTCAGACACAAACACCTCGCTTCATCCTTTTCGAGATACGTATATTTTATCGCTTTTTAGTTAGATTTAATTTTCGCAATTTATCTTTTCAGTTTCTTCGATTGCATTAGCTCATTGCACTTTTTCTAATTAGATATAGGATATTCGCATATTCCCTGAGTTCGACCCGGACACTCACCGGTTAAAGAGATTTTTTTATTTTTGACGAAGTTTTTGGAGTTACTACACGAACACGCACGACACTATTTTCATTTTATACATATATCATTTTTTTGTATCTTACAAGATATTTTAAAACCTCTCCAAAAATCTTCGATCAAAGATCGACCAATGTGCAGGCCACCACCAGTCCGCGATAAATGGAAGTCGGGTCTGACGTAGCCTTGTACGATGGAGTTCGGATCCGAGGCTTCCGTAGCCTCGGATGTTGGCCTGCGAACTCCTAAACATCACGAGAAGTGACATTTAGGAGTCTTGCAGAGGAGGCATATTGTTGAGCACACAAAATAATAATAATAATAATAAATAATGGCAGTAGGATTCTGGATGGGTCTGGATATAAGCCAAATGGCCCAGAAGTCGGGCAAAAAAAAGTTGGACAATGAAGGATGATCGGCCGATACGAAGGTCGGGCAGAGAAGAAGTAGCGGCAGACGCGAAGGTCTGTCAAGACGAAGGTCGGGCAAAGAAGTGTCAAGAAGATAGTATGTTGAACCAGTTGTCCATCTAAGGAGATCAGACAAATAGAACCGGTCGGTTGGTTTGCTGTCAGATGGTTCGTAGTCGGTTGGTCCGGTCGGATGGTCCGTAGTCGGTTGTCTCGTGGTCGGACCAAATGAGGTCGGACGGAGGACGGCTGATACGGCGGTCGGTCGAAAGAGGAAGTCGGGCGAGGAAGGACGGTTGATACTGAGGTCGGTCGAAAGAGAAAGTCGGGTGAAGAAGGACGGCTGATACGGCGGTCGATCGAAAGAGGAAGTCGGGCGAAGAAGGAGATCAGATGGTACGCAGTCGGATAAACAGGTTAGTTGGTTTGCAGTCTGACCAAAGGAAGTTGGTCGGTTGGTCTACAGTCCGACCAAAGCAAGTTGGTTGGTTGGCCCACGGACGGGCCAAGGTAAGACGGTATGGTAGCAGAGTCAAAAGGAAGTCGGTTGGACCAGCCGTCCATCTAAGGAGATAAGGCGACCAGAGGATGTTGTTTCGCCGTCGGTTGATCCACGGTTGGTTGGTTCTCAGTCGGCTGATCCGCGGTCGGTTGGTTCTCAGTCGGTTAAATAGGTCAGATGGTCCAAAATCGGTTGAGCAGGTCGGGCGGTCCGCAGTCGGTTGAGTCGGACGACACGGAGGTCGGCTGATATGGAGGTCGGTTGATGCGGAGTTCAGACCAAGTGAGGTCGGGCGAAGAAGAATGAAACGGACGATACGTGGTCGGACAAGAGACCAAATGGTGGTCGCTTGATGGGGCGGCCAAGGAATCGTTTGGTCTAGCGACCAGTTAGTCTCTGGATTGGTCGGGTGGCACATAGGTCGGGCGAAACAAAGTCGGGCAAGAAGGGACATGGCAGTGGATATGCAGGTCGGACGAAAGGCAGTTCTGGGACGGTTCAAGTCGTGAGAGGCAGTTCTGGGGCGGTTGGAGGAAGTTACAACCGGCGAACGGTTGAAGGAAGTTGCAACACGTGTCAACAGAGGAGAACTTTGTGGACGGTTGATAGCAGTTGCTGTAACCGACCAAATGGTGGTTCAAACTGCTTCTTTAAGGGGTTATTTAAGGATCCGGTGCTGTTCGAAAAAAGGCATCTTCAATTGACATCAAATTCAAGAGAATTGCTTTTGGGGATCACTACTTTATTTTTCAGTCTTGATTTTTTATTTTTCCATTTTATTTATGTATTATACAGTGTTTAGAGATTCCTAATATCAGGCACTAATTATATCAAATTCGAAGATATTTTTCTATTTTCAGATTTTATTTTTTTATTATTGAAAAAATACATCAAAACAACAACAACAACAATAATAATAATAATAATAATAATAATAATAATAAGAGTTGAAAGGAGTAAGTTATTTAGAATGAAGATTTAATAGAAAAAAAATTATTGATAGGAGAGTTATAAGAAATTTGACTTTATCATAGGAATTTAAGTGGAATTAGAGTCCATGATATAATATTAAAAAAAAAAAAAAAAAAAAAAATAGTGTCAAGAAACTGCGAGATGCTAACCAAAGGCACAATGTAAGTTATTATTAATAATGATCACCTTAAAAAATAAAATAAATTCAGAAAAAAAAAAAAAAAAAGAAAAAAAAACATGAGAGTAATATAGCAAGATTGCTAGGAAGTAATGATAATAATCCGGAAAGTTATATTATATGCACCTTTTGGATAGGAAACATTTGAATGTCCTGAAAAATTAAAAATAGTAGGAAAATCTTTAAATTTAGTGTTGAAGAGTCCAATTTTTTATTTGAGGTAAAGATTTCTTGAATTTATACTGTGATAAAACTTTTTTTTATTTGAGGTAAAAATTTCTTGAATTTATACTGTGATAATGATAGTTTTAGTAAATAATTAGTGAAAATATATTAGTAAATATACTATGAAAAATATAATTAGTAAATAATTAAAAATATATTAGTGAAAATAATTATTATATAATACAATTAATATTAGATTAAGATTAAAGTAAAAAGATAAAGGAGAATCACATAAACAAAAAAGATGAACACCAAGCAATAATATTAATTCTACAAACAGCATCAAAGCCGCCAAAATAAACATGAATAATAATAATAAGAATAACAATAATAATTAATAACTTTAGCTCAAACGGAAAAGAATCGTAACCAGAGACCAGAGTAGCACATAGATAATGCCATAACTCGCGACATTCTCATTGCTCTCTCTCACATCCAGAACAAAGATATTAAATTAACTAATTCAGTTCTGTACCGTTCCCGTTGCGTTCCTCTAGTCAGCTCGAGACTGGCCAGCTCGTGAAGACAAAATAATTCCAACAATAAGCCCATACAAAGCCAAAGCTTCTGCGAAAATTAGAATGAGGATCATCCCAACAAAGAGCTTCGGCTGCTGAGCATTCGCCCTGTAGATTTTAAAATCACAAACTACAGTAAGACAGAATACAGAAGCACATAATATGGTTCAAGTATATGTGTTCGTTTATGTATCTTTAGTTACTTATGCAATATATAAATCGATGTTCACAGAACAAGGAAGTCAGATTTGAACAAAGATTTACTTGAAAATATGCATATAGCAATTTTCATTGACTCACAATGTGGGTAGAAAATCACTCAATTGCAAAGACATGACTTCCATTCGTCAAGGAAGGGGAACATGAGAGTGTAGATCAAGAACTACTGAAATACAATAACTCCTCATCTTAACAAGAAATCAGCTCAACCCATTTCTCCATACTATAAAAATAAGACATACAATGTGGCTATAGGTAGACTTTTAGCTTAAAAACATAAAAATGCAGCAAGAAATAGCATATTATCGTAAGCTTGGTACAAATTAATGGAAAGCCATGTGAAAAATCAGTCATCCAATTTATACCGTTGTTTCATAAGCAAATGGAAACTTAATCAAACTAGTATGAACAACAAGCTAACCTCTTGAACGCATTCTAATACCTAAAAGAGTCACCATAACAATATCAAACCGCCAAGTAGATAGTTCACCCAAAATGTCATGAAAAAATAAGCAATGAAGGGAACTAAAGATCTCATCACTCAAGATCCAATGTTAATCTCACAAAAGAAATTTCAATATTAAAGCAACAAGGTTCCATCTTTAACAGTTAAATCATACCTAACACCAGCATCTCCTACAATCCCAATAGCCATCCCAGCTGCCAGGCCGGCGAGACCACAGGCAAGACCAGAGGACAGATGAGCATAGCCATCAAAAAGGTAATAGGACTTGGCTTTAGGATTGATCCCGGTGCTGATAATGACGGCAATAATCAATCCGTAGATACCTAAAACACCAGCCATGACAACAGGCACAATAGATTTCATCACCAACTCTGGCCTCATCACTCCCATTGATGCCACACCGACACCACTCTTTGCCGTCCCATAGGCAGCACCCATACCTTAGAAACAAGCAATTAGCATCAAAACCACAAGAAATAAATCATTAGTAACGCAATTTCATACTAGTAAATCCAGCCAGTGGTCCCACAATTACAAAAGGAAAAAACAAAAACTATAATATACAAAACACACGAAAGCCAAATAATCGGAATCTGGGGAGGATACATGAAATTTTACAACTTAAGCATAAATAATGAGGAAACCAGCCGATACCGTACGGATCAAAGCGAAAACTACACAAGAGCTCACACAAATCAAATCAACAAGTATGCAAGATGCGATTAGAATTATGGGGAGCTTAACAACAAACGCCAAGAGTTAAATCAACACAAAAAGAGAAGGAAAAAAAAAAGTAAAGGACCAATGATTCAGCGTATAACCATGTTCCAGGAGAAAATGAAAATGAAAAGCTTACATGAGAAGACGAGCGCGGCAGCAGCGCCAAGGAATCCAAAAAACGGAGCAGTTTCATCACCGCTGAAGGTCGAAGACATGTTTCCCGTTCAAATCACAAGAAACTTTTGGGAATTCAGTTAGGGTTTGAAATCCAGATCCTAGGAATGAATTAATCTGAGCTGTGCGTTTGGATAGAAAGGGCGACCGAATATTAATATTATTCATTTTATTATTATTATTATTATTATTATTATTATATTAGGGTTCGTATTGAAAAGAAAAATTAATATATTATTAATCTTTATTATTTTTATGCACCTCCGTTCTCACCTTGTTATCTTAGTTACATACACAAGAAATTAAAATAAATATAATTAATAAATAATTAAAAATATATTAGTTACAACGTAAGAATTTAAGATAAATATAATTTTTAAATAATTAAAAATATATTAGTAAAAATAATTAATCTATAATATAAATTATTATAGATTAAAATAATTAATTATTTTAATTAAAATTAAAAAAATAAATTAAAAAATTTAAAATAAAATTAAGATGGATAATCATTTTCTAAAAAAAAAGGTGACATAAAATGTCAAACGGATAAAAACGACAACATGGACACGATGATAAGGCAAACGGAGAGAGTATTATTTATAAAAAAAAAATTCAAATCAAACACATCTTTATACTCTCCCTACGGCTCCTAATAAATGACATTTTTCTTTTTATTTTGTGGTCTTCAATAACAAATGATATTCTATTATCTTATAATATGTGTTATATATAGATTATTTTTATATTAATTTAATATTTTTATAAATAATACTTTTGTTCACTCATTATTTTTAGATGAATTGATTTTTAGTATTTAGTACAAAATACTACGTTAAAAATATAAAATATATATTATTTTAAGTTGAATATTGATTTTCAATTTTTGTAATGAATATTTGAATTTTTTTTGAATTTTTTACTTTTATAAAAAATATTTGTATTGTTTATTATTATTTTTTGGAGAATTACAATTAAAAATTATTATTGAGAGATTATATGTTGAGCACAAAAATTCGAATATAGAGTTTTGACCCAAGATACTAAGTCAGAGTTACACAATCACAATTGATTGATGCATCAATCCGCCATTTGATGACAACATGATCTATACTATTATGCAATTCAATAGTAAGATACACAATCTATAAGTGGTTCCAGAATAATCAGACTACTCAACCAATTCCAAAGGTAAAAATCCAACAACATTTCATACAACATCCTTTTGGGTCATATTGAGGTATCAATAACATACACAATTATAGTGGATCACAAAGACAACAGGAGTTTGGACCCTATTACGGAGGGGCCGATCACGAAGAAAGTATTCACATCAATAATGCTCCTTGAATAGTGCAACCTATAAGGGTATAACTAAATGGTATCGAGCTGCCGTATCTCTAAAGGGGAATATCGATTATAAGGATATTTTTGAGATAAATAAGCAGATTCTACGGACTTGAATGAGACAAAATAGGAAAGTCAAATTATGATAATTTCTTTATTCATTTTGGATGATCTTACCTTGTTGAGAATGTTGTGCTGAGAAGTGACTATTATGAATTTTTTTAAAAAAATAAAAGGTGAAAGATAGGAAATTGAGAATAGTGAGGGAAACAGGGGAATTGCGTATTTGCAAGGTTGTAGGGTGAATTTTTGTAGGAAAGAACTCTATGGGAGCGAAAAAGTGAGATTTCTGAGTGCAATGATTCGTAGAATAACTTCGTAGGCTTGATTCATTCTTCCTGGGGTTGGTACTCCCAGACATAAGTCTTCGATGGCCTAATTAAGTTAACAATTGTTTTGTGTTTTGATTTTAGAGCTATTAGAGTGCACAAGTTGTTTGATCTATCTACTAACTATCTGTGTGTACTCGAATTTATCTCGAAACAATTTGGTACTATTTTTGGTGTTCGTTGAAGTTAAACGGGTTGGGACCAACAATTGGTATTGGAGTGAGCTTCTCGACATTTTGAGAAGAGATCCACATCTATGGATGAAAAAGAAGACAACTCAATCACAAGACCTCCTCTGCTCGATGAAGAAAATTATCAAGACTAGAAGATGAAAATGAAAATTTTAATCATGTCCCTTGGAGAAGACGCGTGGGATTCAGTTCTAACTGGGTGGACTCTTCCATAAAAGACGATTATGATCGAAGGAGGAGGATGATGAACTTTCTCGGATCTGAAAGAAGTTATCTAAGATTCTTCAAGACAGAAAGCCTCGATAGCTTAGGGGAAGTGGAAATCAGATTAGTGGAAGGAATAATTCAAGAGTGTTGAAAGTGGACTGTATGTGTGTTTGGATTTTGGTTGATGTTGTTTGCAGGTGGTCCGATCAACAGACGAACAGTGATGAACAGACGCGGCCCAATTTGTTTTAAGTTCAATCAAACAAGGAAATGGCCCAAATTAATCAATCCAGTGAAGATCCAATCGAATTGATCTAGAAAATTCGTTGGTCCCCCCAATCCATGTGTGAGAACAAAAATGTTGGTTGTAACAAACTTTGTGGACGGTGAGAGAGATAGTGGAAGAATATATTCCATTCTTGTTGAGTTTGTTAGTGTGAATATTCATATATTTGGATATAGAGCTTCCATATGGAAGTGTGAGTTTTGAAAAATAGTGAGCAGAGGCAATTGGATAGAGAATTTAGGGAGAGACACAAGTTCAATGAGTTGATGGTGATGAGGGGGATAGATTAGGAGTGAGGTATATTCAAGAAATAGTGAGATAGATTTTATGAGAGTTGGAATTCTAATTGTATCCATGGAACCTCATGCTTCGACTACTTTGATAGTGAAACTTGCATGGGTTGGAACCCCCCAGATGTAGGTCGTTGATGACCGAACTGGGTTATCAATTGTTTTGTATTTCTTGTTTTCATCATCATCATCAGTGTGCACTCGCAGTCTGATCATCCAGCAAACAACCAGTTCGATCGTGGAAGTTGTCTCTGTTGCTGTTGTGCGTATTCTTGGTGGTGAGATATTGTTGCTGTTTGGTTTGGAGCGAATTTGGGGCCAAAAATTGGTATCAGAGCTACCTCTTCACGAATATTACCGAAGAGTGATCTGTGATCATGGCAGCAAGGGAAGGAACCACGTTCGTGATAAAACCTCCACTGTTAGATGAAGACAACTTTCAATATTGGAAAATGAAGATAATGTATTAAATTAAGACACTCGGTGAAGAAGCTTGGGATTCAGTTGTGCATGGTTGGACTGCTCCACAGAAGACCATTATGGTTAATCCTACTGGGAAAGGAGATGAAAATATGGAGACTATGATTGTGGAGAAGCCCAGTGTCGAATTCACTCCTGAAGAAAAAGCTCGTGCAATGCTAACTCAAAGGCGTTCAGTGCATCATTAGTGGAGTGGATCTGTCGCTATACTTGCACTACTGCTAAGGGAGCGTGGGATGCGTTAATTGACACTTTTGAAGGGGATGTAAAGGTTAAGAAATCTAAGCTTCAGACGGTTGAAAGAGAGTTCGATCGTTTGTTTATGAGAGAAGACGAATCCGTTCTTGAATATTCAAAATGTTTCAAGTCTTTGGTAAGTCAATCACATCAGCTGGGTTGAAAATACGATGAGAAGAGGTTGGTGGACAAATTGATGCGAACATTATCTGAGAAATTCATAGCGAAAGTCACATATCTGGAAGAGTTGGATAAAATAGAGACAATGACACTGAATGGACTTATTGGAATTATGAAGACCTATGAAATCAATCTTTTGGCATCTAAAGCTCAACGTCAAGTTGTTGTTGCTGCTGAAGACAGGGATGAAGAACTTGCTCTCATCACAAAATGACTGACTCGCATAATCCAGGATAAGAAGGCCAGACAGCTGAACCAACAGGGATATCATACAAGCAGTCCGAACGCAGTCGGAACAACTGACAGACATCCTGTGTAGAATGTTCAAAAATTTGGTGCTCTCACTAAGACCAACATTCAGAAAGGTGATAGATCCAAAATGTTTAAAGTATCAAAGAGATCAGGCATATCAGATGACATCAGGTGCTATGGGTGCGATGGACATGGACATGTAAGGGCTGAGTGTCCAACTGCCAAGAGAAGAGATAAGAAAGCAATGAGAGCTACATGGAGTGACGATGAAGTCGATAAACAAGATGACCAAGAGAAACAAGATAATATGGATGGTGAATTGGTTGTTTTTACTGTACAGGATGATGAGCAGGAATAGGCAAAGGATGATGTTGAATTTAGTGAAATTAGCTGTGAAGATATTTTTGAGGCCTATGATGGGGTAGTTTCTGAGCATACAGTATTGGTTGTGCAAAATGACAAATTGAAAGCTTGTGTTATGAGGCTGGATAAGAAGATTGAGGTCCTAGTGGAAGTAAATGAAAAAATAACAAAAATGAATGAGGAGTTTGCTGTGGAAAATAAAAAATTACTTCAAGCCTCAGAAGAATAGTTGGAGAAAATTGGCAAGTTGGAGATGAAAAAGAAAGAATTAGAAAGTCAAATCAGTAGATTAATAAAGGGGAAACAAAAACTTGATGAGGTACTCAATCTTGGAAAACTATATGGAGATCACAGCGGGATTGGCTACACGCATGGGGCTGAAACTTCTCAAACAACGTTTCTCAATGGTGGATTGCTCTCTAAATCAACTTGTAGCAAAGAAGGTGTTAAACGGACTGCTATTTCAAAATCCTCTGGAAATCGAAGGAGTGTCTGGTGGTCAGGCAGACAACTATCAAATTGCAGGTACTGCAAACAATCTGGACACCAAGAGTTGGACTGTGATTGAATCAGACAAGATTTATGGCTGGGCAAAAAAGTATTTTGGCCATCAAAACAATTGAAGAACAGAATTATGGCGAGACTAGTGTGGAGACCTAAGATGAATCAAAAGCATGTCTAGTTGCTCTCTCCACGCAGAACATGGGAATAGAGTCCGTTAATGTGAACTGTAGCAATGAATTGTCTGAGGTAAGAAGCCAAAATTCAAATGATGACAAATCTGAATTGAAGCAGAGCACAGAGGGATTGGATTTGATTGATGTAAATAAGGATGGGTCAGATTGTGTTTGGACATCCCATAAAGAACCCTACGGGAGCAGCAACCTTGAACCATCAATAAAGATTCTTACCAA